AGCCTCCAATGACTCGCACCAGCTCAGCAGCTAGGCGGTCGGCAGACGCCTCGGGGGTGCTCCCCCCCACTTCCATCAGCCTGGAGCCGGTCATACTCGTTTGCCTTGCCTTAGCCTACCCTAAGGGTGACTAGGCCATAGTAAACCACGCTGGCCCACTGCGGGTTGACTTCACATTCTCCGATATGTGCCATCACGTTTTACAGAAAGTAAAATGCCATGTGAAGCCGGATGGGAACAGTTAGTAATATATTTCGCACAGGTGTTTAGGCTGGATATGGTATCACTTAAGTGGTTTTAGAATTTTTTTTGTAGTATTAAAAAAAAAAACTAAATTTAATCGGCACGAGGCAACATTAAGATAAGAAACCTAAAACGAGAAGGATATTGATATAATATTTAAATATGTTTTGTGAGCCTATTTATTTAAAAACGAGCTGTTGCCCGCGACTTCGTACGCGTGGTATTAGAAAACATACGAACCATATAAATAACAAAAAACTACGTATCCCTCGGGAACCGGACACCTCGGGGATGAAGCTTATCCCATGTATAGTCCAGACTTTGTTTTACATATGTGCCAAATTTCAATAAGATATGTTGAACCGTTGCAGAATGAGTAAACATTAAAAAACTAAATTAATGAATCCCACGGGAACCGTAAGTTATCCCGGGATAAAAAGTAGCCTATGTGTTCTTCCAGACTATGCTCTAAACCTGTGCCAAATTTCATGGAGATCCGTTCAGCCGTTTAGGCTACAAACGCTAACAAAAAGCCATCCATCCATCCATCTAAACTTTAGCATTTATAATATTAGTAAGATGTAAATAGGTTATCTATAATCTATACTAAAATAATAAAGCGTACACACACACTACTTTGTGGCGTAGGATGTCAGCAATCACAACATATTTTAGAAAAATTCTTTCTTTAATAAAAAGCCCTACATCTACGACACGCTTTAGGCTATATATTTTCACGCTATTAAACTTAGCAGGTAAGTAAATTTGAAAAAACCTTCAAGTGGGAAAGCGACCATAAACTACAAGCTGCCAACATTAAGGAAGCAAGATTATGATGGTAACGGTAATTCTGATATTTGCAATTGAGTATTTGACAACCGTAATCTTACTTCTTACTAATATTATAAATGCGAAAGTTTAGATGGATGAATGTTTGTTAGAGTTAGTAGCCTAAACGGCTGAACGGATTTCAATGAAATTAGGCAAAGATGTAGAGCATAGTCTGTCTCTTGCTATTGTTTTTTAATTCCACGCGGACGGAGTCTCGGGCGAAAGCTAGTATAGTAATAAAACTTTTCAAACAACAAGCGTATTTATAAACATACAGTATATAAAAAGTTCCAAACCACGTAACGGAAACATAAAATACACGAATCAGATTAAAACAGATGCGACTTAAATAAATATACATTTTTTTGAAAAAAATAATACAGTTAGAGAATTAAATTTGCTTCCCAATTTAAAACTAATAGAAACTTGACTTCGTACAGCAGCTAACGCTGCTGTGGACTGAATTAGAATCTTAATTACAACGATGTATAAATCAGTTGAAAAATATGTGCGTTAATTTGAAACCGTGTTTATCCAACAGTCGACAGTAAGCCATTAATGTTAAATTATGCGCTGTTTTTTATATAAAATAACATTAATTATGTAATTTATGAATAGAGATTTAGCTGTAAATTTATGCAAATCCAGGACATTTAGGATTTCTTAATTACAGCAAATCTCACGGACGAGAGTATTCGATTTCTTTATATGGTCGTTAACCTGATTGCTTGTAAAGTGCTATCGAATTTTAAAAAGGAGTGAACTAATAGAAATGTATGGAAGATCAGCTGTTCCCGTGCGACTTCATCCGCATGAAATTGTGAAAAATTTGTTTTATTGTTTCATGTGTCAAAATGACATGACGATGACAAACCATGGCAACCTTGCTTCCTTGATGTTGGCAGCAACTTATGGTCTCTTTCAGACTTTAGGGTTTTTATCCTAAATATTTACTCCCTACGTTTAATGGTGCGAAAATATATAGCCTAAAGCGTGACGTATGTGTAGGGCTTTTGGTTAAAAAAAGAAATATTCAAAAAAATGCTGTAATTGCTGACATCTTAGGCAACAAAGTGTGTGTTTACGCTTTATTATAATAGTATAGATTGTATGGATGGGTGTCGCTAGTAACAAGGTAGCCGCTCCATCCTAGAGAATCTAAATATTTTTATATCATAAAGTGGCAAACGAGTTATCGGCCACTTGAATACGCCAAAATAGCGAAGCGACTGCCCATAGGCATTCGCAATAGTAATAGCGTAGCCTTGATCAACGGAGGAGATGCACATAAAGAGGACATTTCTTGTTCTTATGCGCTTTTTGGACCTTCAAACTGAAACGCGGAATAGTTTCCACTTGACGTCTTCTGTGTGGTCGTGGTATTGCTGGGGGCGAGCCGACCTATTCATGCGTAGATGTTAAAGCGGGCTTTACCACTGTTAAAAGTCCATGAAATTTATATAGATAACTAAAAAAGAAAAAAAAAACATGTAGATAAGTATTTTCTTTAGAATAAAAAATAATACTGAAAGAGTGACACCGCGAGTTTTCGTAACTGTACTCTTCTATACATGTTTGACAGCCTTAAACACTTCCTTGAGCATATCCTGTTTTACACAATACATAATTTCATTGTTTCTACCTTTGTAGTACATCATACTTCATACTTGATATTATAAATGCGAAAATTTCGATGGATGGATGTTTGTTAGAGTTTGTAGCCTAAACGGCTGAAAGGATTTCGACGAAATTTTGTATAGATGTGGAGGATAGTCTGGTAGAACACATAGGATACTCACTTTTATTTTTTTTAAACCCACGGGGACGGAGTCGCGGATGAAAGCTAGTAATAAATAAATAATTAAAATTAAAAAACTATTTGTTGACCAAAAAAACATAATGTAATAATAAAAAAAGCAGTTTTTTTGGCCAAAAGCAGAAGGCTCAGCTGATCTGATGCATCTCATTATTTGTTTATATGCTAGCTTTCGCCAGCGACTCCGTCCGCGCGGAATTAAAAAAAGAAACAAAAGCAAGTAGCCTATGTGTCCTTCTAGACTATCCTCTATATCTACGACAAATTTTATCGAAATCCCTTCTGCCGTTTACGCTACAAACTCTAACAAACATCCATCCATCTAAACTTTCGCATTTATATTATTAGTATGATTTACCGACTTAAAATTCTGCAACGTAGCTGTATTTCCTCTGGTATTCGGGACATATATGAGCGTTCGAGCAACTAGCCGACAGTAAAAATTAATTTCCAAACGTCTCTTGTTGCAGGTTGAAGAATATTTCACCACGACGCAGAATATACGAATCCATATGATACCAAAGTTCTAGAAGCAACCGTGGCTAAGCTGTGGAAAATGGTGTCCCAGCAGTACTGCTTGCGGTGGAAACACCACCACAGTAATGTGCAGAATATGTTCGCACAACTACTGGAGAAGGGTAAGCAGAGATTGATTTACTAAACCTTAAGAACGGGCCCACCTTTGACAAAACTATTACACAATAGCTATGCGATTGTTTGTTTGTGTGTGCGCATATAAGCTCATAGGAATTAAATGTGCGACTAAACAGTTGTGCGATAGTTTAATCAAAGGTGTGTGCGCGTTTTAAAAACACGTCAACACATATAGTGACTAGCAACATATCGATTTTTGGTGAACGTGTTCTTGGTCAGTTTATATCTCTACTAAAACTAGCAGTTTCCGTGCGGCTTCATCCGCATGAAACTATAAAAACTTTAGTTTATTGATTACGTTTATCGCAATTGCAAATGTCAAAATACCATTGACCATACTATGGCAATCTTGCTTCCTTTATGTTGGCAGCAACTTACGGTCTCTTTCCCACATTAGGGTTTTATCCAATTTATTTACTCCCTAAGTTAAATAGCGTGAAAATATATATCCTAAAGCGTGACGTGAGTGTAGGGGTTTTTATTTAAGAAGGCTTATATCTTATGAATTAAAAAAAAATACTGTTTTCTCAAATTAATAACAACCATAACAAATAATGAGAGTATAAATGTTTATTACTACTACAGCCGTACGTAATCGAATTGTATTTCGCTATTATTTATGTCATCGTTAATTCTTCCAGACTATCCTCTACACACACATCCCTACTAAATTTGAAATGAATTGTCAAACTAATCTAAATTATTTAGACACACTATAGTATACATAAATAATATAATCAAACATTATTTCCATGCACAGCTGGATGTATTTTATTCCATAAATATTAATTATTTATAGTCTTCCATTTAATAATAGGCCTTGATTATTAAAATATTAACATCCAAATCTGCAGACGAATTTAATAAATTAATATCGATTCATTTAAAATCAATTCACTAATGCAAACGTTAAAAAAAACAGCTATTTTTGTAAAAAAAAACTCCAATAACTCAAGGGAAGAAACATCACCACTATGGCCGTCACAGCCATGTTATGCTTTAAAAAGATATATCATTACCTCTTATGTTTTCTTCCAATTTGCACAGAATAACCTTACCAATATGACCGTCGTGTCGTCGAGCTAATGCAACACCCTTATTTTTGACATCCGACTACTATCCGATTAATAACAGAACAAGCAGAATTACGACATTTTAAAACCATGACATAAATAATTAAATAATATTTTAGATCACAATTACAAAGCTTATATTCTTATTTCAAATTATGACCAATGGCATTGATTTATAGCACAGACTAAATAACCTTCAAGAATACAGAATACATCAAAATACTTAAAAAGCTAACACCATCATTACCAACTTGCCCCCTTACGGAGGGTCGACACAGTACATGCTGCTCTTCCATACATCTCTATCAGCCGTCATATCTGAATACACTCCTTTCTTAAGCATATCCTCTTTCACACAATCCATCCATACTTTCTTCGGAAGGGAGATTTTTTACAACTCAAGGGAAGAAACAAATAAAATAAAACCTTATTAGCTATTAATCCTGAGGGGTAAGTAAATTGAAAAAACATTCAAATGGGAAAGGGACCATAAACTACAAGCTGCCAACATTAAGGAAGCAAGGTTATTATGGTAACGGTAATTTTGATGGTAATATTAAGAATAAGACAAATGTAAACAATAAAAAAAAAACATATCGACGAATTGAATACCTCCTTTTTTTGGGAAGTCGGTCAAAAAATAATGTTTTTTATAATTTCTCGCGAATAAAGCCGCACGGGAACAGCTAGTTTAAATTCCATATAATTTGTTGAAACACATTTTCTAATATTGTAAATGCGAAAGTTTGGATGGACGGATGGATGTTAGTTATTACATATCTCCGTAACTAAATGGATCTTGCTGAAATTAATCATAAATGTAGAACAGTCTAGAAGAACAAATACTACACTACTTGCAAAGTAGTGGGCGACAGCTAGTCTTATTTCTTACTAAGATTATAATGCGAAAGTTTAGATGGATGGAGGCTTGTTAGAGTTTGTAGACTGAACTGCTGATCCGATCGCGATAAAATTTGTCATAGATGTAGAGGATAGTCTGGAGGAACACCTAGGCTACTTACTTTTTTATTTTCACGCGATAGGAGTCGCGGGCAAAAGCTAGGTTACTAATCTTACTAATATTATAAATGCGAATGTTTAGATGGATTGATGGATGTTTGTTAGAGTTTGTAGCCTAAACGGCTGAAGGGATCTCGATGAAATTTGGTATAGATGTAGAGGATAGCCTGGAAGAACATATAGGTTACTTGCTTTTGTCTTTATTTATTCCGCGCGGTAGGAGTCGCGGTCAAAAGCTAGTTTATAAATATATTAATAATACTTTAATTTTACGGTAGGAATTATTCCACAAAACTGTTGCAGCGACATCCGTGAAATATCTGTTAGATAAATATTTTTATGGAGAATATCTTATTTCATATTTTAAATAATGATTATGAATGAAAAAATTAATTATTAGTTAATTAATTTCTTAAATATATAGGAAATATGATCTGTTAATATTTTCTTATTAATTTGATTATAAAAATATGAATTTGATTGAGGAATATTGATGCAAACATTTTTAGAAATACAAATGCATAATAAAGAGAGATAATTTGTTACTAAATATTTATTAAAATTTTGCTTATGCCTTACGTAAGTTGCTTAGTGTAATCAGGATACAAATTTATAGTCCTTTACTAAGTGACAGCGGTAGAGCCCGCTTTAATATCTTCGCACGATTGGGCCGGCTCGCCCCACTGATACCACGACCATACAGTAAACAGGCGTGGAGTGGAAGCAATTCTGCCTTTCGCCTGATGAGTGTGGGGTCGGAGGTCTAATTTTAGTCCCTTTCTCTTTCCCCCCTTTTCTTAATACGAAAGGATGGGAAGGAAAAGTGGATTTGACGGTGAAGGAGACGCATAGGAAGGGAAAATTTTCTCTTTATGTGCGTCTCCTCCGTCAAGTAAGGGTAGGCAACGCATCTGCAATTGCGGATATTTATGTGCAGCGGTCGCTTTTCATTTCTGTGGATTCAGGTGGCCGCTTGCGAGTTTGTTACCTTGTGTTATAAACAAAAGTAAATTCCGATTAGTGTTTAAATGTATGTCTGCTTGTACCCAATTCTGCATTTGTTCTATCAGATAAATACCAGTGGTAGTGGTTTAGGCTATTTTCTAACGTAGTTGCAAGCAGCAGTTTTTCAACATAAAGTGGCAAACGAACATACTGCCATGAATCTGCTAAAATGCAAAGCGACCGTTGCCCAGACATCCGATATTGCAGATGTGTTACCCTGAACGATGGAGGAGACGCACATGAACAGGACATTTCCCTTCCTACGTCTCCTTCACCATCAAATACTTTCCCATCCCATTGTAAACTTATGAAAACAGTGCGGAAAGGGAAAAGGCGTATAATCAGGTATCCCGCATGTCCACTCGTCAGATGAAACGCGGAATTGCTTCCACTTAACGTCTGTCTTCTATGTGGTCGTGGTATTGCACTGGGGGAGCCGGTCTATTCATGCGTAGATTTTAAAGTTTATTGTATTTTGCCGTCTATCAACGCACGCATTTTTTGAATATTAATACTCATTCAATGCAATTTTCTATCCAACTTGTTACGCTCGGTTGCACTTTTCAAATGCAAGTAATACCGTTTAAGAGCGAGCGCACACCTGAAATAAAATAATCGCACAACTGTCTCGCTTTGATTCCTATTAGCTTAAGGAGGTGTACACTACTCGATTTTTGAATTGGCTTCGAAACAATCGACTATTATTGTGCGATAGTTTAGTCAAAGGTGTTCGCTTGTACCTACTAGTTTTTTATTCTGATAGTGCGTGACGAATGCATTTATTTAGACCGAGTAATGTTTTGTTTTTATCTATACTTCTATACTAATATTATAAAGAGGAAAGATTTGTATTTTTGTATGTATTGATATTTTAAAAACTATTGAACCGATTACAAAAATTCGTACACTAAAACGCTACGTTATAGGTGAGTAACAGTAGAGTAACGTAGTTTTTTTATTTGTTTAAATTTACGTGGACGAAGTCGCGAGCAATAGTTAGTTAATGATATATTCTCAGTTTTTTTATTTTCCTGATCTATAAATTATTTCCAGAAGTTTTAAATACCAATGTGTCAATATCGAAGTCTAACCAATGCGTTATTTATTGATTTACAATTTAACTGGTTAGTCTCAGCGGGTTTTCGAAATAATAATTTTGGATATTCTAAAATCCGATTAGACTAGTGATGTGCACGGCTACGGAAATATCTTGTGTTTCCGTAGCCTAGTTATTTTTAAACATATATAAATTATTTTGTCCAGCTGTTGCTCGAGACTTCGTCTGTGTGTAATTAAAAATAATAAAAATATAGCCTGTTACTCACTGATAATGTCTTTTTAATGGTGAATGAATATTTAAAATCGGCCCAGTGATTTTTAAGTTATTTTAAGACATACAAAAATACAAATCTTTCCTCTATATATAGATTGGTACGTTTAGTTTAGATTGCATAGTTTTAACTTAATAGTCGGACCTTACAGTTAAAGCATACTTACATTACCATTTATGTGGTTGGTCTCCGCCTCTGTCAATCCAGAGGAATGAACACACGGAAAATAGACATTCCCCGACAGTTATTTTGGCAAATTCTGATATTCGCTTGTTTGTTTTTTATTTTATATTATAGAAACTAGCTACTGCTCGCGACTTCGTCCGCGTGGAATTAAAAGAAAAATCAAAAGCAAGTATGCTTATGTGTTCTTCCAGACACCACTTCTTTGGCAAATTTCATCAAGATCAATTCAGCTGTTTAGGCTACAAACTCTAACAAACATCTATCTAAAGTTTTGCATTTATAATATTAACTAGCTTTCGCCCACGACTCCGTTCGCGTGGTGTTAATAAACATTAAGTAGCCTATGTGTTCTTCCAGATTATGTTCTAC